CATACACACACACACAAACACATACACATATATACACACACACACACACACACACACACACATATATATATATCAGTGTTTTGAATATAGTGTATTCAGAACACTTTTACTGGTCTAACCATTTTACAAAAAAATGAAAGAAAAGATAACTCATAAACCGATAGTAATATCTGATAATATAACAGAACAATTCTAACCCTACTTATACTTGTATTCGCTTATTTATATTCCTGTGGTGGCTCAGTGGCTAAGACGCTGAGCTTGTCGATCAGAAAAGTCGGCAGTTCGGCGGTTCGAATCCCTAGCGCCACATAACCGAGTGAGCTCCCCATTCCTTGTCCCAGCTTCTGCCAACCTAGCGGTTGGAGAGCACGTAAAAAATGCAAGGAGAAAAATAGGGACCACCTTTGGTGGGAAGGGAACAGCGTTCTGTGGGCCTTTGGTGTTTAGTCATGCTGGCCACATGACCACGGAGACGTCTTCGGACAGTGCTGGCTCTTTGGCTTTCAAACGGCGATGAGCACCGCCCCCTAGAGCTGGGAACAACTAGCACGCTCTGGGGAGGGGGGGGAATCGGAGTTATATCGGTGACTTTCCATCCAATGTCATCCTTTTCCTCCCCGATTTTCGGCTGCAGGAGGAACGATGAAGTGACCCACATCAAAATCCAAAACACAGGCGATTATTATGACCTCTACGGAGGTGAGAAATTTGCTACCTTGGCTGAGCTGGTCCAGTACTACACCGAGCAGGAGGGGCTTCTGCGCGAGAGGAACAGCAATACCATCGAGCTACGATTCCCGCTCAATTGTCAGGATCCCACCTCAGAAAGGTGAGCTTGGAGGTGGGCGGGCGAATCCAGCTAACCTACCTGTTGTGGCCCGCCAGCAGTCAGCGGAACTGCCAGCAGAGTCGGACAGTGAGGAGGTTGGGGAGGAAGATGGGCCAGTCCTGGAGCCTGGGGAAGGCTCTGACGGGGGCTCTGTGTTGGAGGCAGAGAGGGGGCAGGGCGGTCTGACAGTTATCAGCTGCCTTCAGAGTCAGACATCAGTGAGGCAGAAGAACAGCTGGAGCCTGCTCCCAGTGTGAGTCGCCAGACGAAGGGAACAGCTAAAGAACAGGGGTCATCTTGGGAGTAAGGCCACAGGTGGCTGATGAATGGCCCCTCCCAGAGGAAATAAAGGCGGAGCGAATGGGGAGTGGAGTTTGCAGGCAACAATGAGCTCATTTCATTGGTTTGTGACTCTCCGAGACTTCTTGCGAAGTTCTGCAGATCTCGGGCTGGCAGCTCTCCAAGCCAGATAAGGTCTGTGACTGTAAATCCTCCCTTGAAAGACTTTGCTGGATGTGAATGAGCAGAATTCACAGTCAATTAATAAAATAAGGTTTTTGTCGGGACCAGCCAGGAGTTTGCTTCGTGCTCTTGGGAAGCCTCACTCAGAACATTAACTAGCTGGATTAACACGAGACGTTAAGCCCTCCTTATCTTCACTCCGCACCGTTTAAAAAAAACCACAACCCAGCGAAACAGTTTTCCGGCTTCACAAGTGTTGCGTGAACTGAGTTTGTCTCTCTCCTTTTTTGTGTGTCTTGCAGAACAAGTGTTTTCGCTACTGGCCGGATGAAAACTGCACGAAGGAATTCGGCCAAATCGGCGTGCAGAATATCGGGGAGCGAGAATGTCAGGGTTACTACATCCGGGATTTACAGATCGCACGGACAGACAGGGTAGATTGGGGGTTCTCTTTTGAAAAGCAGTCATGTTTCTAGTGCTCGTGCCAACTACTGTATTTTTCGGAGTATAAGACGCACCTTCCCCCCCACCCAAAAAAAGAGGCTGAAAATCTGGGTGCGTCTTATACACTGAATACAGCATTTTTCACCTCCCGAAACCCCACCCCCTTCACAAAAATGGACACGCAGAGAGTTTGAGAGGCCTGCAAAGTGCCCCTGGGGGCTGCGGAGGGCAAAAATGAGCGGAAAATGGCCCGTTTGTGGCTCATTTTTGCCCAGCCCCCAGGAGCACTCTACAAGCCTCCTAAAGGCTATGCATGGGGTGTTTTTTGCTCGGTTTTGCCCCTCCCCCACAGCCCCCAGGAGCGCTTTGCAGGCCTCTCAAACTCTCTCCATGCCCCATTTTTCACACACAAAAAAATGAGGCATGCAGAGGGTTTGGGAGGTCTGCACAGTGCAAAAACGTTTTTTGATTTTTTAACCTCTTCAAAATCTTGGCGCGTCTTATACTCTGAAAAATACGGTAAGTGTGGAAATCTGTCATCCTAGGACAGGGATGTCAAATGGGATTTCTTTGAGGGCCGAATGAGCATTGTAGTTCTCTTCAGGGAGGTGGGAGGAGATGGGACGGACACCTCCAGCAGCAATCTGCCAGCCGAAAACGGGCTGCTCAGAGGCCTCCTGAGCCTCCCCCCCCACCTTGTGGCCCATTTTCAGCCTCCTGCAACACTCTGCTAGCCGAAAACGAGCAACAGAGTACTGCAGGAGGTCAGGAAGGCTGAAAACAGGCCACTGGGGGATGGGGGGCAAAGAGCCCATTTTGACTGGCAGAGGCACTGCAGGCCGGTCCTTTGATATTCCCAGTCTGGCTATGCAGGCCTTCAGTTTGACACCCCTGCTCTAGATAGCAAGCAGGTTTTTTAATGGAATGTTTTGACATGTCGCCTTAAATTTGTGGGCCCCCGTAAAATGCTGCAGAATAACAGAGCAGATTTTTATCTCCGACCATTAATGTGCTTTGCCGTTTTCAAATGCGGGTCCAAAATACGCAGTTGCTTTCTCCTTTTCGTCTCATTTCGAGTGTACTTTTTGGGCCCTTCGTCGTGTTTTCCAGTCTGCCCAGGGGTCTTATTCTGACAACCTCTCGCCGCTTCATCCCTCCGACATTCTGGTGAGGCCAGCCCAATTTCCTTCAGTGGTTGAATGACTCACACCCTTTCGGGGGCGTCTTCCTCTCGGCCGTTGTATTTCCTTGTTGCAAATGTAAAGTGACTCAGGAGTTCCAGGAAAGGAGCCCACAACCGCAGAGCCGGGGTTGTGTTATTTTCCCCGCGTGGGCAGCGTGCAAATATTTACCTATTTCTGTTTATGTTAATCTTCAGTGACTTGCTTTCCCGGTCATCACACTTCACGATTCCCGCACCGACTTCTCCCAAATTGGGGAAGTCTCCATCACAGTGACACGTAACTATTTCTTTTTCTTGTGCCGTTTCCATCATTGGACGTTGGCGATCCTATTTTTATCAACAGCCACAGACAAAAATGTTGCTGAATTTTGTCCAAACTGGTCCCTTAGATTTTGAAGCCATTATGTTCTTCTTCTGCCTGGATCTGATTTGCCTTCAATCTTTTCCTGGAGGATTAAGTGAAGGATGCCGTATTTTTGTCCGGGTGTCCGGACATCACATGTGACCCAGCCTTAGCAGAAGCAAGAAACAGAATTCCTGGTCATGAAAAACCCCTCCTTATTTACCTCTTGTGAATAAATGGCATTCACCCACCCAAAAGTCCGGGCAAGAATCCTGCAAGGAGTTAACTGTAGTACAGACCTTATCAGTTCAGTATGATAATGGGAAGGCCGTGAGCTCCCAGCCGAAAGGCTTCAAATTAAGTTCTGGCGAGCAGTCTTTGTGGCACGAAACACAATGAGCAAAATCTTCAGAAATACGAACTGTTGTCTCCTACAACCACCACTCCCCTTTCCTTCTATTTATTCCCCAGCCAGGGAGGGGCCATTCAGTGTCCATGTGTGCCTTGCTTCCCGAGCCGACTCCTCGTCCTCCATTGTTCACCTCTCCTAATTGCTCTATGGAAACTGCTCATATGGAACAGGCCCCAGCTGTTCTTCCTTCTCACTCATATCAGCCTACAAAGGCAGCTGCCTCTCTGGTGGCTGGGAAATGCCAAGACGGCCCTGGGTCTATCTTTGCGTCGACACAGAGCATTCATTAGCGCCTTCCCCAGGCTCCAGAACTGGCCCAAGTTCTTCCCCAACCTCCTCATCGTCCGAGTCTGCCTCCAGCTCCGTTGGCAGCTAGCGGGCCCCAACAACGCGTCTAAAGTATTCTAACTTGCTTTTTTATGGCTTTATGATTTCCCTTGTCTTTCCCAGGCGGCTTATAAGTATAATCTTTATTGCCATTGTTACTTAAATGCAACGGAATTGGTTTTAACCTCAATGGTGCAAAATTATAACAGAAACGAAAAAAGGAAGAAAAAGAAAAAGAAAAAAACTAGCATGCGCACGGGGTGATTGTGGTTGTATCTCAAAGTCTCGCAGCCCAAGGATAGAAGCTATCTTGAAACCTGTTTGTTCGGCTGGCTATACTTTTGATGCCTTCTGCCTGATGGTAGAAGTGCGAAGAGACACTGACCAGGGTGTGAATCATCTCTGGGTATCTTCCTTGCTCTGCTAAAGCAGCGAGATCTTATCGCCTCCTCCTTTCTGATTTCTGTCCACCGATTTCTCTGTGATTTAATCTGATCCCTCTCTCCTTCCGTCCAGGAAGAGCGGCCCAGAAAAATTAAGCACTTCCAGTATTTCAGCTGGCCTGATCACGGCGTCCCAAACGAACCGGGCGGAGTCCTCAGCTTTTTGGACCAAGTCAACAAGGCTCACAGAAGTATTCCAGAGTCGGGACCAATTGTGGTGCATTGCAGGTGAGGGACATCCGGAGGCTTGGATTTCGGGGTCTTCCATCTGAGCCTGTGATGGTGTATAGAGTAGAATGAGGAATAGAATAGAATAGAATAGAATAGAATAGAATAGAATAGAATAGAATAGAATGTAGGATAGACAATAGAATAGAACGGAACAGAACAGAACAGAACAGAATAGGAATGGGATGGAATGGAATGGAACAGAATATGGAATGGAATGGAATAGAATAGAATAGAACAGAACAGAATANGCCTGCAGTGCTGCACTCTAACCACTGCGCCACCTCGGCTCTTTGGGGCAGTCCCCCTCCCCCCCCCGGCCTTTTCCAGGATGTTCCTCTGACTTCCAAAATTGGCCTACCTTCCTGGGCTTTCCAGGTGGTGCCCCATCCAAATATCAACCCCTGTGACCCAAAGCAAGGGATTCTGGGAATCGTAGTCCAGCATCTGTACCCCACCGTTAGAAATTTAAAGGTTATGCTACAGGGGAAAAGCAATCGCAATCGCGCTTAGACTTATATACCGCTTTACAGTGCTTTACAGCCCTCCCTAAAGCGGTTTAGAGAGTCAGCCTGTTGCCCCCAACCATCTGGCTTCTCATTTTATCGACTTCAGAATGACGGAAGGTTGAGTCAACCTTGAGCCTGGTGAGATTCGAAGTGCCAAATTGCAGGCAGTCAGCAGAAGTAGCCTGCAGTACTGCATTCTAACCATACTACGCGCCACCGTGAATAGATGGTGGGCTCCCTCTAGAGGCCAGAGTAGGAAATTCCCCCCTCTGGGACCGTTCTCATTGATTTTTGAACCGTGAGCCCTATACCAAATAGGAGTACCACCGACGAGAGGCTGATAATGCGCAAATTTGCGGGGTTCTTCAGCGACAAATGCAGAAAAGTAGCAGGGAGAAGGGTGAAAAGTGGTCCCTAGGGTTTAAGCCCCATGATAATATCTCTACACTGAGTTAAGGGGGGGGGGGCAAAGGGGAGTGTGAATTTTCCCGTTGGAAAACCGGCTGCTCTTTTTTTCAGATGGTATCATGGTCACCTCACCGGTAAAGAAGCCGAGAAACTCCTCACCGACAAAGCCAAACCCGGCAGTTTTTTGGTCCGCAGCAGTCAAAGCAAGCCGGGTGATTTCGTCTTGTCCGTTTTGACAAACGAGGATAAAGCCGACACGGGAGACCGGAAACCCCGCGTGACTCACATCATGATCCGCTATCAGGTCAGGATCTGCGACCGTCCCGCTTTTCTTTCAATCTGCATCTCGGGAAGTTGTAAAAGAATAGAATGGGACCTTGGAGGTCATCTAGAGGCAGTCCTTGGCATAATTATAATAGGGCCCGGAAGACCCAATGTTGAGTAGTGTGGTTGTTGAATGAGGCATCGCACGGTCGCACCCCATTTTCTGCCATGGTCGTTAAGCGAGACATCGTGCGATGAGAGCAGGTGTCGGCAACCCCTGTGGTTCTGGAGCCGCATGTGGCTCTTTCATCCTTCTGCTGCGGCTCCCTGTCACTCGAAATATGCGTCGCAACCGCTAATGCGTGACACCCACCGGCATGCGATTTATTGAGCTTTCCCACTCACAGTAGGCCAACCATGGATAAATCCAATAAAAGTTTCAAAAGAAAACAGAACATTTAATTCAACTACATATGCTAGTTTTGTGGCCGCTCAGGAAATAGTCAGGCACGGGAAGGAGTTTCTGTGGCTCCCGGTGTTTTCTTTTCTGTGGGAAACAGGTCCAAATGGCTCTTTGAGTGTTTAAGGTTGCTGATTCTTGCACTAGAGCAGGGGTCGGCAACCTTAAACACTCAAAGAGCCACAAAGGCCCTACCCGGAAGCCCCCTGTTCAATTCTGGAGCCAACTGGAGGTATGGTTCTTCTACCATAGAGTCTCCTCCTAGCGCAGCATCCTTTTTTCCTCTACCTCTCCTAACCGAAAGCCCTATCAATTGTGAAGCCGACCGGCGACAGGGAGCTGCAGCAGAGGGATGAAAGAGCCATATGCGGCTCCAGAGCCGCGGGTTGCTGACCCCTGGACTAGTGTGTAACTTTCCCTGATTTTGTGACACAAACACACCCCACTGATTTCGCTTCTCAGAAGTTGGTGTCAACCCTGAAGCTGACCCGACCGAGGCCATTTTGAGACTTCAACGTGGCCACACTGGAGCTGAGGGATAGGGAGAAGGGAATAGAGATAGCTGGTGTTTTGTAGCCAAAACAAAATGATTTCTTCTGGGAACCAAGGATATTCCCGCAGGTGGTCAGACAGAGGAGAGTGAAGTTACTAGGCAACCACAGCACCTTGATTGGATCATGTGATTGATTGTTTGGGGAAGGTTGGGGTAGGGTTAACCTTCATAACCTTCATAAGAGTCACGGTGGTGCAGTGGTTAGTGTGTAGTACTGCAGGCTCCTTCTGCTGCCTGCCTGCTGTCTGCAATTTGGCAGTTCAAATCCCACCAGGCTCAAGGTTGACTCAGCCTTCCGTCCTTCCGAGGTGGGTAAAATGAATCCTCTCTCCCTCCCTCCCAGGGGTTAGAATGCAGTATTGCAGGCTAACTCTGCCCACTGCCAGCAGTTCAATCCTGACTGACTGGCTCCAGGTCGACTCAGCCTTCCATCCTTCTGAGTTCGGTAAACCGAGGACCCAAAATTGTTGGGGGCAAGAGGCTGATTCTGTAAACCCACTTAGACACGGCTGTAAAAGCACTGCAAAGCGGTATATAAGTCTTAAGGGCTATTGCTCTTCCTGGTTCTCCTTTGGCAGCTGGACGGGAAGTATGACGTGGGTGGCGGGGAGCGGTTCGACACCCTAGCGGACCTGGTGGAGCATTACAAGAAGAACCCCATGGTGGAGAAGTCAGGGGTCGTGGTACACCTGAAACAGGTAAGGTGGTCACCTGTGCCGAGCGTTTAACCAGGGGGATAGAGACTGGGAGGGAGGTCTTTCTCTCCTTCAACATTTAGAGAAGATTCTGTCTCCGCCAGCCTTTCAACGCCACCCGGATCATTGCCGCCAACATCGAGAACCGAGTCAAGGAGCTGAACAAGATGGCCGACCAGAGCGAAAAGGCGAAGCAAGGATTCTGGGAGGAATTTGAGGTACGGGGGGGAGGGGAAGGGCCAATCAAATCTCCTTTCGTTCCTTCCGGCCTGGGGAAGTGATTTCCCAGCATTCCTAGCATGAACTGCATGGCGCAATTCTGGTGTCAGGGTTCCAAGTAACACCCCCAACAAAAAAAGACTCCGAAGCTTGAGGTTCCTCAAAAGTTCCATTTTATTAGCGGTGTCATATTGGCACCTCTGGGAAAACCAGAATCTCAAAGTCTCCAGGTTTCCCCCACTCAAAAGGGAGTTCAAGTCCCTGTCCAGCACCCACATGTCCATCCCATGGTCCAATCAAGAACCATCCAAAACTGGAGATGCCTCCCAGTCACACACATTGCAGCTGCCGGGCAAGGTGTCCTTGACTCTCTGAGAAAGGAATGTTATTTCGACTATATATCTCCCATACTCCATATAATCCCCCCTCCCATTTTCCCTCAGTAGAAAATGTGGCAGGCCTGAAGGCCCAAATTTAAAAGAGGGTTTCAAGGCCTAAAAACATGTCCATCACATGATCTAATCAGGCACCATCCCAACTGGAGATACCTCTTGGTCACACCACTCCATGTGTAGATCAAAGGTGTCCTTGACTCTCTGAGAAAAGAATGTTATTTCCACTATATATNAAGCCTCCTAAAGGCTATCCATGACCATTTTGGTGAAGGAGGCGAGGTTTCGGGAGGCAAAAAGTGCTGTATTCAGTGTATAAGACGCACCCAGATTTTCAGCCTCTTTTTTGAGGGAAACGGGTGCGTCTTATACTCCGAAAAAAATATGGCATTCAGTAATAGTAATATGAGTGTAAGAGTTTAACGTCGGCACGCTGATTCTCCTACCTGCTTGCGTGGCAATTTTTTAAACATCTCCTCTCTCTCTTTTCTCTTACAATAGGTTTGGATTGTGACATCGACATCCCGAAGACAATCCAGATGGTACGGAGACAGAGGTCGGGCATGGTGCAAACGGAAGCCCAGTACAAATTTGTCTACATGGCTGTGCAGCAGTTCATCGCAATGCAGCAGAAGGAGCTAGAAGAGGAACAGGTGAAGAATTGGAAACCACCGTATTTTTCAGAGTATAAGACGCACCTTTTCCCCGCCTAAAAGAGGGTGGAAATGTTGGTGCGTCTTATAAGTGGAATACAGCCAATTTTTGGGCTCCCGAAGCCCCGCCCCCACAATTTGCAAAAAAATGGGCCATTTTTCTGAAAAACAGGTGTTTTTGCCTTCCCCCAGCAGCACACTGCAGGCTTCAGCAGGGCTGGAAGAAGGCAAAAACGCTTCTGTTTTTGCAAAAAAACGGTCCATTTTCTGCCCGTTTTTTGCAAAACCGGGGGCGTTTTTGCCTTCCCTCAGCCCTGCTGAAGCCTGCCGAGTGCTCCTGGGAGTTGGGGAGGACAAAAACATTTTTTTTTTCTTACTTACCTCTTCGAAATCTTGGTGCGTCTTATATGCCGGTGCGTCTTATAGTCTGAAAAATACGGTAACCAAAGAGAGAAGCAACCTGGGATTAAGGAGAAACTTCCTAACAGGCAGGACAATTAACCAGTGGAACAGCTCGCCACCAGAAATTGTGGGTGCTCCATCTGTGGAGATTTTTAAGAAGAGTCCAGACCAGAGGTGTCAAACTGGATTTCTTTGAGGGCCCAATCAGCACTGTAGTTCTCCTCCGCGGGCCGGCTTGGGTGGGGGAGACGGGACGGATGCTTCCCGCAGCATCACGCCAGCCAAAACGGGGCACGGAGAGGCTGAGCCTGGACAGCCTCCCGCAGCACCCTACCAGCCAAAATGGGGGGGGGCTCATACAAACAACCCCGTGCCCCTTTTCTGGCCTGAAATGCCTCCTGTGGGCCCCCAGAGAACTACCCCCCAAAGAACTACCCCCCAGAGAACTACCCCCAGAGATCCGGACCCTACCCACTCTCATGGCCTTCCGAAAGGCTATTAAAACCTGGCTATTCCGGCAGGCCTGGGGCTGTTGACCTCATGACTGAGGTCCAGCCCCGATCAGATTGGGTGCGTGATGTGGTTTTTAATCTGTTTTCCTCTGTTTTTAATTTTTTATATTTTTAAAACTTATTTTCTGTAAGCCGCCCGGAGTCCTTCGGGATAGGGCGGCCTATAAATTTCTTCAATCAATCAATCAATCAATCACATGCCCCATTTGGCTGCCAAAGGCACCGCAGGTTGGTCCTTTGCTATTTCCAGGCCGGCCCCACGGGCCAGATTTAAGCAGCCTGCGAGTCGGATTCAGGAGTCTCCACGTGGCTCGTTTTGGATGGAGGTAAGTACAGGGTGCTTGCGGAGGCTCGGAAAGGGCGAAAAACAGGTGTAGCAGAAGTTCCAGAAAGCCTCCGGAGCCTCAGAAGGGCGAGAACACCCCCGTGTGGTGTAGGACAGTGTTTCTCAACCTTGGCAACTTGAAGATGTCCAGACTTCAACTCCCAGAATTCCCCAGCCAGCATTCGCTGGCTGGGGAATTCTGGGAGTTGAAGTCCGGACATCTTCAAGTTGCCAAGGTTGAGAAACACTGGTGTAGGAGATTGAGTAGGCCACGCCCACCCAGCCACGCCCACCATGGTCACGCCCACCCAGCAACTGGGCAGAGAACCGGTTGCTAAAATGTTTGATTGCCCACCCCCCCACCCACCCCCGGGTATATAAGTCTTAAGTGCTACTGTTATATCTATTGTTACTGCATGCGAGCCCTCCTCATTTCTCAGCCAGAAGACTCAAATCCGGGAATCCCCCCCCCGGACACTTACACAACAATTACCCAACGGTGTCAACACCGAACTTGAAAATAAGGATTTCATCATAGAGCAGAACAGAAAAAAAAATAACAGGAGGATAGCCACAATGAGAGAACGACAGAGATGGAGGGGACCTTGGAGGTCTTCTAGTCCAACCCCCATCGCTCAAGCAGGAAACTCTATACCATTTCAGACAAATAGCTGGCCAGTTTCTTCTTAAAAGCTTCCAGTGTTGGAGCACCCACGACCTCTGGTGGCAAGCGGTTCCACTGGTTAATTATTCTCACTGTCGGGAAATTTCTCTTTAGTTCTTGGTTGATTCTGTCCTGGATTAGTTTCCATCCATTTTGCTTCTTGTCCTGCCTTCAGGTGATTTGGAGAATAGCTTGACTCCCTCTTCTTTGGGGAAGCCCCTGAGATATTGGAATGCTGCTATCATGAATAATCATCAAACTTAATGGAATTCTATTTCAGAGATGTCTGCGGAAGGACACGGCTTACTTAAACATCCGATACTTGCCGATGGAAAACCCCCGAGCCAAACCTCGCCCTGCTTCACCTCGGCTCCAGATAGGGTACGATCCTTTTCTCTCCCCTCCCTTTCCTTCCCCCCCAATAGGAATTGCAAGTATTCCTCACCTTACGACCTGATTTTGCAACCTTTCTTGTCATGGTTGTTAAGTGAATCACTGCAGTTGTTAAGTGGCTCAGACAGACGCTAAGTGGATCTTGTTTTCCACCGTTGATTTTTGCTTGTTAGAAGCTATCTGGGAAGGTCGTGACCCCGTCACACACACACACACACACACACACACACACACGGGCTGGACAATCGTGGTAAATCCATTTTGGTTGCCAAGCATCGAAATTTTGATCATGTAGGTGCATGAGCAAAGGGGACACTAGGACGGTCGTAACTGCAAGGACGAGTTTTAAGCCACTTTTTTTCATAACTTTGAACATAGTTAAAGAATGGTCACAAGTCAAGGACTACCTGTAATTGGAGGAAAAAAATGGGTGAAGGAAATAACCAGTAGTCTTTGACTTTTGACCACAACTGAGGCCAATATTCCTGTTGCTAAGAGAGGCATTTGTTAAGTGAGTCTTGCCTCATTTTACAACGGGTGTTAAGTGAATCATTGCTGTTGTTCAGTTAGCCACATGGTCATTAAGTGAACCCAGCTTCCCCATTGACTTGTCTTGCCCGTAGGTCGCAAAAGGGGATTGCGTGACCCCGCGACCGTCATAAATAGGAATCAGTGACCGAGCATCTGGATCGCAGGACCGTGGGGATGCTGCAGTGGTCGTAAAGTGTGGAAAATGGTCATAAGTCACTTTTTTCAGCAGCATTGTTAACTTTGAACAGTCACTAAATGAAGCCAACAACTACCTGTACTTCATCTAAGTGGAGATCTGAACTTACGTGGGGTATGATGGTTATTCCTCACATGCTCCATAATAATAAACTCCATTTAATGGCGATATCTGAAGTGAGTGATGCGGTGGCCTAGAGGTGGAGCTCTCGCCTCATAATCAGGAGGCTGTGAGTTCGATCCTAGGTAGAGACAGCTGTTTCTCTCTCTTTGGACACAATGAGAATATATCTGCTGAACAAAACTCCGCACTGGCGACAGGGTAGGGCATCCGGCCACTAAACGCTCAGCTCCATTCAGTTGCCCAGACTCCACCCGGCAAGGGATTACGAGGTCGTTAAAAGAGGATGAATGGCGATATCTGAAGCTGCCTGTGTCTCAATGTGTTCGGTTGACTAAGCTGGTTACCCTGTGTAAGCCTGAGATTTTGGACACGGGTTCAAAAGCTCCCCGCCGTTGCTCGTTTTTTTTTTGTAAGGCCGGTTGCTGATTCTTCCTCTTTTATTCCGCAGAGTGGCTGATGAGGAAACGACCTCCGTCTACGAAAACCTGAGTATCAAAACCGCCAAGGTCTCGGGATTCACCAACTCAGGAAGATAGTAGCTATAGAACAGGATGGAGACAGGTGGCTTATAAAGTAGGTAGGCAAGTGTGTCCAGGTGTGTGGTTTTTGTCTCTCGATATGACAGACCGGTGGATCGCATCCCCAAGCACTGCACTCCTCTCCGGAAACCCAGCTCTGTTGAAAAACTCAGTTTCTCCCAGCTACCCCGTTTCAGAATTATTTTTCTTTTAGACTTATCACTGCGCCACGGTGGGGTGGGAGGAACGAAACAATGGCATAGTTTTCCATCTCTGCTTTTATGGATGGGATCAAACTCGTACAACTTCCAAGGTACCGGTGCGATCTGAAAGGACACCAGTTTTATTTCCATCTCAAGGTTTATCGTTGCCTCCTCCAGATACGATGCAGTTTCCGTGTTTAAACTCCCACCTGGATTTCCCATCATGAACGCAACCTTAAGACTCCGTCACTCGTTGCTCTCATTCAGTGGATTTCAACCTGGGCCACTTTAAGAGAGAGGTGGGCTTTCAATTCCCAGAATTCTCCCACCAACCTGCTGATTGGGGAATCCTAGAAGTTTTCTACCTGGGGAATTCTGGGAATCGAAGTCCACAACTTAAAAAATTGTCTAGCTGGAAAAACAGCTGGTTTAATTTATGCAAAGGGCAAGATATAATTCCTTTTCTTGTTACTCTGTATCCCTCCCCAAGTGTCTCTGGTTCTCTGTAACAGATGTTACAAACTGGGTGTGTATGTATGTATATATATATATAATAAATGTATATATATATAGTGAAGTAACAAGTGTCTTTGTTTAGAGCAGGGGGGTTTACACCATTGAGCATGGTGACCCGAGAATTCTGGGAGTTGAAGTCTGCACATGCCGGCTGCGGAATTCTGGGAGTTGAAATCCGCACATGCCGGCTGGGGAATTCTGGGAGTTGNTTAAAGCTGTCAAGTTACAAGACCCTTGCACCCCTAACCCTTTAGAAAAAAAAACCCCAGGGGTGTTCAAACTTGACAGCTTTAAGACTTGTGGATTTCAACTCCCAGAATTCCTCTTCTCGCTCTTCATCTTGATGATGTGCGGACGGGCGGGGGGAGGGAGCTGGAACCGGTTCTAAACGGCATTGTAGATTTGTGGAACCTCTTCAATAGAAGAGGTTAGAACAGAGCAGAATAGAATCTGGAAGGGACCATGGAGGTCTTCTAGTCCAGCCCCCAGCTCAAGCAGGAGAACATACAATATATCTTTTCAGACAAGTGACTATAGTGTTGAGTTCAGCAGAGAGAATTGTGTGGATGTCCTTTGACTTCTTCCCTTTCTCTCCTTTTCCCAGTGCTGGGATAGGCCGAACGGGCACGATCATCGTGATAGATATGCTGGTGGACACAATTCACCGACAAGGTAAACACAACCTTGCCTTTCCTCTGATTTTGTACAGGGAGCAATTGCGGGTAGAACTCGACTTACGGTCACAATTGAGTCCCAAATTCCTGTTGCTAAATGAGACATTTTAAAGTGAATTTTGCCTCACTTTCTTGCCATCGTTGTTAAGTGAATCACTGCCGTTGTTAAGTTAGTAACACGGTTGTAAAGTGAATCTGTCCCCCCCTTGACTTTGCTTTGCCAGAAGGTTGCAAAAAAGGGATCGTGTGGACGTCATAAATATGAAACCGTTATCAAACATCTGAATGATGTTTCTCTCTGGACACACTAAGAATATATCTGGTGAATAAGACTCTGCATTGGCGTCAGGAAAGGCATCCAGCCAGTAAATATTCATCTTCATTCAGTTGCTCAGACTCTACCCCGCAAGGGATTATGGGATTGTTAAAAGAGGATGATGAAGATGATGATCGAGCATCTGAACATAAATTACATGACCACAGGGATGCCACAACGGTGTGAAAAACGATCCTGGGTCATTTTTTTTCAGCGCTGTTGTAACTTCAAACAGTCACTAAATGAACTGTTGTAAGTCGAGGTCTACCTATATTTACAACAATCAAGGCATCCTCCGGTCATGGGATCATGCTTCGGACACTTGGCAAATGTTGCACACTTACAACATTCACACTCACATCATCGAACAAATTGCGCCCTTCCCAGCCAGCTTCCAACAAGCAAACACGATGGGGAAGACGGCAGGAAGTCACAATTGATATCTCACGTAACAACTGTGGTCAAGAACGGTTGCAAAGTCGGATGTGATCCCGTGATGCCTCGCGTGAGGATTGCACCACTCCAAACAAAGTTTCCAGTCCTTATTGTGGTTGCACGTTAAGGACTACCGTATTTTTCGGAGCATAAGACACACCGGAGTATAAGACGCACCGGAGTATAAGACGCACCAAGGTTTTGAAGAGGCAAATTAAAAAAAAAAAAGTTTTTGGNGACTATATATCTCCCATACTCCATATAATCCCCCCTCCCATTTTCCCTCAGTAGAAAATGTGGCAGGCCTGAAGGCCCAAATTTAAAAGAGGGTTTCAAGGCCTAAAAACATGTCCATCACATGATCTAATCAGGCACCATCCCAACTGGAGATACCTCTTGGTCACACCACTCCATGTGTAGATCAAAGGTGTCCTTGACTCTCTGAGAAAAGAATGTTATTTCCACTATATATCTCCCATACTCCATATAATCCCCCCTCCCATTTTCCCTCAGTAGAAAATGTGCCAGGCCTGAAGGCCCAAATGTAAAAGATGGCTATCAGGTCTGACATCTGGGAACTTTCACCCGGACAGATATGGAAAGTTGGGGTGGGATTTTTCCCATCATCCAGGGGTGAAATGATACTGGTTCAGACCGGTCTGCTCAAACCGGTTCAGGCGAACTGGTAGTTTCCATGATCAGCTGTGCAACGATCAGCTGTGCTGCGTGATGAAGCTGATTGTTGCACAGCTGATCGTCCGGTAGCATATTTATTTATTTTTTTGCTACCTGTTTGGGCGAACCTGTAGCTCCGATGATGAGCCGTGTTGGTGCGCATGTGCGCACAAAGCAAACCGGTGGCAGTCTTCAGAGCAGTTCACCCCTGTCATCATCCTGACTTAGGCCATTGCTGGGGATAATGGGGTTTCTTTTAAAGCCTGGCGCCCATGAACGAATGGGAACACTGATGCTTTTCCAACTTCTTGGTTCCCACAGATGTTACAGCAACAGGAGTGCAAATTTCTCTACCCCAGGAAGGAAGGGCAGCAGGCTGAGAACAAGGCGAAAAATCGCTACAAAAATATCCTTCCATGTAAGAACTCCGAGAGTGGAACTATCCTAAAAGTAGGAAATATTTTGTCTTTGTCAGAGTAATGATTTAAGGGCGGACCTGCTGCTACGATGATGTAATGCTAGGAATGAGTCAGCAAGGTTTTGGGGCTGATATCACTTTAAGAGCCTGTAATAAGAAGAGGCCCTGTTCGGGAATATCTCCCTCCATGTGTGTTTCTGGGCTGTAATTGCTGTTTATTTGAGGTCTGACTAAAGTACGTGTACGTATATATTCTTTGTAGATAAAATAACTATTTAAATATAAACCTCTGTTTACTATATTTGCTCCTGGGTTGTCTCACATAGTCACACTGTGCGCACTCCGACAGCCTTTTAAATGGGATTCAGGATAATATAAATCTGGGCAGCAAATTAAAATATTTCTGCGATTTTCAAGACAGATGCTAATTTCCCCCCCGGCATTTATGTTGTTTCCCTCCCTTTGCAGTTGACACAACCCGGGTGGCTCTCCGGAACGCCGATCCCAGAGTCCCAAATTCCGATTACATCAATGCCAATTATATTAAGGTGAGTGGCAGGCAACTGGTTTAGATTAGATTAACCGAGTTGGAAGGGACCTTGTAGGTCATCTAGTCCAACCCCTCGCCCAAGCAGACCCTACACCATTTTTGACAGATAACAGACCTCTGTCTTCTTGAAAGCCTCCAGGGATGAAGCTCCCACATCTTCTGAAGACAACTTCTGCTCCATGGGTTGGAACCAACTGGGCGTTGATCTAAGATGATTCATTAGGGACATGTTTCCCAACATTTGCAGAACACCTACTGTATTTTCAGGAGTATAAGATGCTCCAAAGTATAAGACGCACCTAGCTTTTGGGGAGGAAAACAAGAGNAGATCAGCCCAGGGACTAGTAAAATGTGGAGACCAAAATACAATTCCCAGCATCCATCACCATTAGCTGAGACTGGTGGGACCCCGTAGTGCAGGATTCTCTGCCCCAATCAATACCGTATTTCCCCAAAAATAAGACAGGGTCTTATTTTCTTTTGACCCCCAAAATAAGCGCTTGGCCTTATTTTCAGGGAGGTCTTATTATTTTTGAGGTGCAGGAGGCGGCGAGCGAGGTCACCTCATGGCTGCTGCTGGTTTGTAATATTTTCGGGGGAGGGCTTATTTTCAGGGGAGGGCTTATTTTAGCGCATGTGCTCAAAAGTCCAATTGGGTTTATTATCCAAGGAGGTCTTATTTTCAGGGAAACAGGGTAAAAACATTATAATATTGCAAGTTCTCTTAGGCCTGAACATGACCTGGTCTTTTACGACAGACAGGCAGAGTTGAAGCTAATACGATACAGGGAGTCCTCGACTTACAACAGTTTATTTAGGGACCGTTCAAAGTTATGACGGCACTGGAAAAAAAGTGACTTACGACCGTTTTTCACACGACCGTCGCAGCATCCTCCGCGGTCACCTAATCAAAATTCAATCTCTTGGCGACTGATTCATATTGGCGACAGTTACGGTGCCCCAAATTGAGTCATTTTGTGATCTCACTTAACAACCAGGTGACTGGCTGAACATGCAGGGGTTCATTTCACCGCCGTGTCAAGAAAGGTCGTAAAATGGAGCAGAAATCCACACCTGTCTTGCTTAGCGATGGAAATGTTGAGCTCCATTGTGGTTGTAATTCGAGGACTTAATCCTCTCTCACTGCTCCCCCAGTATCCCCCAGTCCTGTTGATATATAATCTCAGTTGCCCCAATATCGTCCCTCCCTCTCTGTCGGTGACGTCTGGTTTCCCCCTTTCTGATCTTCCCCAAGAACGGGCGGAGACAAATATCACCACAATAACAATAAGAACTGTCCCAACACACAATTCAGCGGTATAAAACTGAAATGTTTAATAACAATAGAAAATGAAGTGTCCTCTCCTTTCGCCCAAACGAAACCGGAGGCAGAGGCGAAGTGTCGAGGGTCAGCAAAAGGGGAAGAGTGCGCAGAGGCCGGTCCATTGTCTCCGATTTGCGTGTCCTCGGAGGGGAAAGCCTTTTGGTTCACTTGCCACTGTCATAATACTCCCCGTGAAGTGTGTTCTCCCCTACATGCAAAATAGGGGGTCTTCTGCACGGACTTTGGCAGTTGACTCTCGCAAAGCAGGCTGTGGCTGACCCTAGAGCCGCTTAGGAGGTGTGGAAGTGGGCACAGGTGTGTTTCAAGTCGACATGACCAAGATGGTGAACTCTCAAGCGTTCACGAGTTGCGTTGTACCAGGTCAACGTGACGGCCCATCAAATCCAACATGATCCTCTAAAACGGACAGGAGAAGTCCACCCCGTCTCCCCGGTTCCTTCCAGAGGAGACTAAGACTCTCGTGGACTTTCTCCCCCTACCCCCCCAATGACCAGTGATCACCCCACATTAGAGCAGCACCCGTACAACAGCCCCCCCCCCGGGCAATCACGCCACGAGCTTGGTGAGGTCCAGCGTGGGGGCCGGGGTGGTGAGATGGTAAGGCACGTAATTGGGCCGCGGGTACGTGAATTTGTTGAGGCACCTCAAGTTTCCCGTCTTGACGATACACTGGACGGGCCACAGGATGATGCAGAAGAGGATGATGATGAGCACGGAAAGCAGGAGGACGCGTTTCCAGTCGTCGCATATCGAGCAGCGGGAGAGGCGTCCGATGAAACCCTCGGTGGGAGTCTCGGGGACTTCCGGCTTGCTGGGGGCGATGTCGATAGTGACGTAGGTGTGGGCGTGCTCGGGATCGGAGCACTGTCGGCAACACAGCTTGGTCCCTTCCATCCAGAGGCTTTTCTCCTTCTGGAGTTCCGGCGGTAAGGTGGCCATCAGCTCTTTGCACGTCTGGAGGCCCGGCGCGCCTTCCAGCGGGATCTCGGTGAGCTGCCTGCAGAAGGGGCACGGGAGCTGGTCTTCCACCCGGTTGGGCGGCAGGGCGGCCGTCAGCCGGGCCAAACACTCCAAGCAGAAGGTGTGATGGCACTGGAGGACCTTGGGTGTCTTGAAGAGGTTGTCGTAGGTGTTGAAGCAGATGGAGCATTCGATCGGCGAGGTGGGCCGTTCCGTTGGGGAGCCCAGCCTGGTCTTCCCGTCGATGGGGGAGCTCAAGGGGGACCCCACAGGCGAACACACGGCGGGCCTGTTTTCCACAGAGGGAGACATGATCACGATCGGATTGAGCGGGATGTGTCTCTCGCGGGGGTCTGCCGGGGTTGGGCTTTGGGGAGACGAGGGAGGCGATTCTGGCACTTCAGTGTGCCAGATCTGGGTTAAGCAGGACATGACGGAACCTGGGGGAATAAGAAAATGGGATGAATATTAAGCCAACACGGAGTCATCCTACATCAGTATTTCTCAAATCAGAGGAACTTTAGGTCAGGTGGACTTCAACTCCCAGAATTCCCCAGTCAGCCCGGGAATGCTGGGAGTTGAAGTCCGCCCATGCTGGCTGGGGAATTTGGGGAGTTGAAGTCCGCCCATCTTTAAAAGTTTCCAAGGATGAGAAACACTGCCGTAGATGTTTATTTCCTAAATCTTTCTAAGACTCCACCCCTTTCTTCTTCTCCAAAACTTCCTTAACCTTGAATAAAAAATCCACAAGTTCTTCACTTGTCCGGAAGAGCAACTGTTGGAAACCGGGAACTCCAACACTTGAGAATTTCCCCCCCTCCTCAAAAACACCAAGAAAGAGCTGCGTAAAAAGAGGAAAAATAAAATAAAATCACACGTACCCCAGCCGGTGCTTCTCCTAATTTGAGAAGGCAGGAGCGTTGCTGTCTCCATGAAATCCACAAGGGATCTCGGGGGGGTCCCAGGTAGAGACCCTGTTTGCTAGGGGGGGCAGAGTTGGCTGGCTGCACGCAAAGCCTAAGACAAACCAGAATACGAGTCTGTTCAGGATGATAGGGAGATAGCGGATGCCAGCGTGGCTAAACTCCCACGCAATCTGCCCTTTGTTGTATTTTTAGGAGCTGAAGCAAACAATGAGCTGCGAAGCTTTGCTCTACACACACACACACACACACACACACACACACACACACACAAACCTCTTCCCAGCTTTGGGACTACCACGCCTGACCCCAAGCCTTAAGGGAAGCCTCTTGTCTTGTTTTTTCTTGGACGTCCAGGAAAAAACCCCAGCATTTTCCTTTCTTGTGGGNTCCTCACTGTCAGGAAATTTCTCCTCAGTTCTAAGTTGCTTCTCTCCGTGATCTTGTAGAGATCAAATCTCGTAGATTTATTTTTTTTTTTTACTACTACCAGTGGGGGTTCAGGAAGCCTCCCGTTCCCAGAATCCCCCCGATTGGCCCCTCGGGAGAGAATTCTGGGACATCTACCCCTTCGCCTGCCAGCATTCCCTACCGCTGAGACTTCTGGGAGTTGAAGTCCCGTCCCAACCCCTCCAGTTTAAAAGGAGCAGGCGAGGCGAACAACCGGTTTCCCACCGACCGCCGTGAGATGGCTGAGCGTTGATTCAGCATTTCTGCCGGCAGACTCATTAAAACCGCGCGAGGCTCTTTTAATTGGCCTTTGCGCCTCCGTCTTAACTGCGCTCCTGCTGCGATTATGATTATGTAAGAATTACCGGGTGCGCTTGGCAGGGCACAAGGCCGATGAAGTCATGCCACCTTCGCCGTTTAAGGGTTGAGTCACCAGCCCCATTTCCCAATTTCAGGAATAGCCAGCATTCTCCTGGGGTTGACATCAGCTCTTTTTCCCAGGCAATTATAAGTCAGCCGACAATGATTTGCCACTCCCGGAGAACGGAGGAACGGAACGCAGCCACCATCAAAGCAAAGCCTTTGCGGCGAAGGCACCTGTTGGATTTCTGCCTAGCCTGCATTTAAAAAGAGCAGAGACGCCCACTGCAGCTAACTGGCTTGTGCCTAAACCGTCCCTAGTGTTAGAGGACTTCACTCTGTTCCCCAAAGGGGCTTTTTCAAACGGCAACTGGGCTTCCTTCGGTTGTTTTTTTTCTTGAAAAGGTTTCACTTCTCATCCCAAGGAGCTTTCTCAGTTCTTGGAGCTCTTTCGGATGAGAAGCGAAAATGTTTTCAGGGCTGGTGGGGAAGCAAGAAAGTCTAGTTCTGTTTTTAAAAGGACTTTTGGGGCAACCAAAATCTGGATAATTGAGAATTCCCATAAACTTCGCTGTGTGTCTTTCCAACCAAGCTGGTTTTCCAGTTCTTTTGTTGTGGCCTGCCAGTGGCCAGGGGAGCTGGCAGCAGATTCGGACAGGGAGGAGGTTGGGGAGGAAGATGGGCCAGTCCTGGAGTCTGGGGAAGGCTCGGATGGGGGCTCTGTGTCGGAGGCAGAGAGGGGTCCAGGGCCGTCTGNTTTTTTTTTTCTTCAAATGGATCTGTGGAAGGAATTTATAAGGGGCAAAAACATCCTGGACTTTCTTAAAAGTTTCCTAAAAGTTTTAGGCCTGCAAAAAAAAAAAAACCCTCCAAAAAAGCCACTTTCCGTCCTTGAAGAATTGCTCCCATCGCAAAATCTCCCCCAAGCGGCATTTGAATTCAACTAGTCTTGATTTCGGCTGAAAGTTGCCGTTGGAGGGAGCTCGCTCTTCTTCCAGATACCCCATTGCGATCCCCCCTCATTTTGTTTTTCTAAGAAGAGGTCTCCTTCCAGGAGATCAACCTCCCCCTCTCAAACAGGAGGATCCTCCAGTACCTTTATCCATCCATCTTCACGGTATTAAATCCATGCCCCAAAGCAAATGGATTAGAAACAGAATAACAGAGTGGGAAGGGACCTTGGAGGTCTTCCAGTCCAACCCCCTGCCTAGGCAGGAAACCCTACACCAATTCAGACAAATGGTTGTCCAACATCTCCTTTAAAACTTCCAGTGTTGGAGCATTCACAACTTCTGGAGGCAAGTTGTTCCACTGATTCATTGTTCTCACTGTCAGGAAATTCCTTCTTAGCTCTAGCTTGCTTCTCTCCTTGATTAGTTTCCACCCATTGCTTCTTGTCCAGGTGCTTTGGAGAATAGGTTGACTCGCTGTTATTAATATTGGAACACGGCTATCATATCTCCCCTAGTCCTCCTTTTCATTAAGCTAGACAAAATCCAGTTCCTGCAACCGTTCTTCATATGTTTTAGCCTCCAGTCCCCTAATTCTCTTCGTTGCTCTTCTCTGCACTCTTTCTAGAGTCTCCACATCTTTTTGACATTAATTTTTTTAATAAAATACAGAACCACCTTTTCCTTTGTTCATAAAGCCCCAGAGATATTCATCCTACTGGCAGGGACCGGTGTGTCCCTGCACAAGTCCCATGCCTCCTCTAGCCACATCCTTCTTGAAGTCACTCAATTGCCATGCTTGGAGTGATTAAGTCACCACGCGCCCGGATGTTTGTCAAAAGCTCTTTCCAGAGGTGGAGCCTTCCAATTATTTTAACACCCAGGGATTTCTCTGAACAGAGGTGTGCCGCCTTTTGCCTTCCAGCCAACGTGATTGAAACACGCGCCGAAGGTGGCAGAACTAGGAGCGAGCTCCCCTCCAAGCTATCTCAAGAGATTGTCATTCCACAACCACGCTCGGGAAAAATGCTCGGAGGCTTGCTGGCATAACCAGTTGTGGTTGAAGTTTTATCACCGTTGTTAAATCAGCACCCCCCTGCCTCTTTGTGTTTCATTAGAACTGGAGGGGCAATCCTTGAGTTGCGACGGCCCTCGGAACCGGAGAGCTTCCATCACTAAGCGATGCAGTCATTAAATTTTGCTCACAAAAACGAATTTGGCTTTCCCCGTTGACTTTGCTTGTCGACGGGGAGGTCAGAAAACGGTGACAAACCACCACCACCACCACCCCCGGGACGCCTCAACCATCATACATACATGTTGACTGCCAAACACCTGGATTCTGGTCATGTAACCACAGAAATGGTCATAAACGCAAGGACTTGTCTTAAGTCACTTCCCCCCCCCCCCAAATTGTAACTTTGGTCATTAAGCAAGGTAGAGGATGACCCGTGGAGATACTGGGCTGCAAAACTCCAAGTAGACACTAGGTGGCTGAAAAGCATTTGAGATCCACATCTCTCTGCTGCCCCTAATGGTCATCTGGAGTTTTGCAGACCTTTTTTTTTTTTTTTTTTTAATTAAACTGCTTTTACGCAAACGCCAGATCTCTTATAACCAAGTTATCGATCCGGGAGTGAATTCCTCCTGAAAAAGTCACAGAAAATCCACTCTTTGGGATCTAAACCCAAGAATAAAACTTGGGAGAACATTTTGACTGATTTTAAGCTACGATTACGCAAATTTATTAATCACAGATTTTAAGAAAGGCACCTACTTGGAGCATGAATAATATGTAAAAGAGAATATCCTGGGAACAAATCAAAAGATAAAAAGATATATATATATATATATTCTCATTCTCAATCTCTGGTAAATTCCCCATCTTTATGGAATTTCTTTCCCCACCTGCTCAAAGCCACTTTAAAAGCAAACTCACCTGTCTTGAGTTGGGAGATCCTAGAAGCAGCAATGCATGTTTTAAAAGCTTCTGGCTCTTTTTTTAAAGAAATAAAATAGTTTCCCTTTTCCTTCCTTCAAACCAAGGAGAAAAACAGCTCCATCTACGAGATGGGAAACGTGCGGGAGAGAAATCCCACAGCAGCCAACAAGATCTTCCCCCAAAGCAGCACTGCTCACATCACCTGGAATGAGAAATCTTTTATAGCTTCTGGTCTTCCAGGTGACTGCATGGTTCTTACCTGTCTCGACCAGGTGTGGCTGCCGCGCTTGGGATTGGCTGGCTTTTCAGGAGGGGGGGGCGTGGCTTTTTATGTTGACAAACAGGACTGGCTGGAGCAGCTTCTGGACAGCAGGAAACATCCCAAGTCTACTTCCGAAGAGTGGAGAAATAAAGGCCAAGGAGCTGGTTTGGTCTTGTTTGAAGTGGTTTTAGATAAGATCCCCTATTGGAGATACGTGTTTTCTGGCTGGAAAAAATTCTCAGGAATCGGTTTGAATCCATTCCAGTGGAACCCTTCGCTGTGATTTCTGTTCAGCCCTGGAAATAGATAGATAGATAGGTAGGTAGGTAGGTAGGTAGGTAGGTAGGTAGGTAGGTAGGTAGNATCCATCCATCCATCCATCCATCCATCCATCCATCCATCCATCCAATCTACCTACCTACCTACCTGATCTATTGATTATCCTCTATCTAATCGACCGACCTACCTATGTCTGTCTATACCTACCTACGTATCTATCTGTCTGTCTCTGTCTGTCTGTCTGTCTGTCTATCTATCTATATCTATCTTTCTATCTATCTATCCATCCAATCTACCTATCTAGTCTACCTACCTACCTACCTATCTGATCTATCAATCTATTGATCCTCTATCTATCTAATCGACCTACCTACCTAGTTATGTCTATCTATATCTACCTGTCTGTCTATCTATCCCTACCTACATATATATACACATACATACATACATACATATCTGTGTCAGTCTGTGTCTGCCTGCCTGCCTACCTCTCTATATCCATCTACCTACCTACCTATCTCTCTACCTACCTACCTAGTTATGTCTATATCTACCTACCTACCTACCTACCTACCTACATCTCTTTCTGTCTCTCTCCCCCTCCCTCCCTCCCCCCCTCTCTCAGTATAAATATAATAAAATATGGTTAGGGGGGGGGAAACATAAACCAGAGCTGTAAAGCATGTTCCGAAGCCTGTGCAGAAAATCCAAGGTGTATATTTAAAAAAAAAAATTCATTCAGGAATAATATGTTGCTCCAAATAAAGCAGGGAACAAATTAGGGACAAAATCCATATCGGAGGATCGGTTGTCAGTCGGTTTAATAAAAGAATCAAAGTAATTGATGGCCTGAGAAGTCGTCGGGAGCCGCCACATCTCACCAGCCATGTCCATGGCCCTGAGGCTGTTTTTCCTGTGTCGCCAAAGGGGGGGTGGACTAGATGACCTTTGAGATGCCCTTTGACTCCATTTGGCAAAATTCTTTTCTGCTGGAGTAGTCTGGATCCTAGAAAGGTTTCCTCCTCCTCCTCCTCCTCCTCCTCCTTTTTTTCTTTTTTACAAGCCACACAAACTCGTTTTATTGCTTTTTCCACATACATGGCTACTGGGTGCAAATGCCAAATGTATTGACAGAGGGAAGATTTACGGCCCTTCTTTAAAGTGGAAGCTGGTTCTTTGGCCAGGAGGCAGAGAGAGAGAGAGAGACAGACACAGAGAGAGAGACAGAGACAGAGACAGTGACAAGAGACAGAGAGAAAGGAGAGAGAGACAGAGAGAGAAAGAGAGAAGAGACAGAGAGAAGAGAGACAGAGAAAGAGAGAGAGACAGAGAGAAAGAGACAGAGAGAGAGCAACAGAAAGAGACAGAGAGAAAGAGACAGAGAAAGACAGAGAGAGAGAAGAGACAGAGAAAGGAGAGACAGAGAGAGAAAGGAGAGAAAGACAGAGAGAGACAGAGAGAAAGAGACCGAGAAAGAGCCATAGAGAGAGACAGAGATAAAGAGACAGAGACAGAGAGTAAGAGAGAGAGAAGAGACAGAGAGACAGAGAAAGCGAGAGAGAGAAGAGAGAGAGAGATAGAAGAGAGAGAGGAGAGGGGGAAAAAGAGAGAGAGGGAGAGAGAAGAGACAGAGAGAGATAGACAGAGAAAGAGAGAGAGAGAGAGAAATATAGATAGATAGATAGATAGATAGATAGATAGATAGATAGATANACTGGAGGTTTTTCAAGAAGACATTGGACAGCCATTTGTCCGGAATGATATAAGGTCTCCTGCTTGAGCAGGGAGTTGGACTAGAAGACCTCCAAGGTCCCTTCCAACTCTGGTATTCTGTATTCTTCTTCTCCTAATCAGTCCTCTTCAGAAAAGAAAAAAGTTAAGAGACTGGTGGAAAGGAAATAGCAGAAAGGTTAAGGGCCCCACGTTCCTACCCTGGGCTGGAGGACACCTGCAGCTGTGTTGTATCTCAAAAGAAAACACCAAGGTTGAGAAACAATTATGGAAAGTTGAGTTTCAGAAAAAGACTAGAAAATAACCCAGGTAGCCTGTGGGGAGAACCGAACTGAGATTGATTTGCATTTGCTGCAAAATATTCCTGGAGGGCCCTTCTCTCTCATCACTGTGAGAAACAGAAAAAAAAAGAAAAATGGATCTGTTCTTAGGAATCACCAAGAGCCATTTTTAATTCCTCAACAATTCTCTCCGTGTCAATCCGCAGGGCTCCTTCATCGAAGCCTTTAAGCCAAAAACAGAGTAACAGCAACTGCTCCTGAGGCAGATACAACTTCGGGAAGAGAAGACAAAATAAGAAAGGAAGAAAAAAAAATGGAGGAGATGTGCTAATGTGTTAATCATTGGCCTTTAAAAAAAAAAAGAAGCCGTTCTTTGAAAACTGTTTGCCATTGTCAAATCTCGCAAACCTGACATGTGTGGTATTTTGGCGTTTCTCCCCAAGTTCACAAGGATAGTTTTATTTCTTTATATTATATTCTTTATATTATATTGTATTATACTTGAGTTGGTGCATCGTGGGGCCTAGACAAGATTGCCCAACCTTCATTCTTACCGGGCTTTCAAAGCTATTATGAATGAAGGCAGAATTATTATTATTATTACACACAGACACACACACACAGACACACACACACGTTGGTCGGCCATTTTAAGAAAACAAATAATACCAATGTAAAAATAGAGCCAAGCCAGAGATGTTGCATCCAACTGACACCAATGATTTATGGCGCTGCTCAACCCAACTCAACAACCCAACTCAACTCAACTCAATCCATGCATCTGGGCAGCTCTCCGAGGTTTAAACTTCTCCAAGCTTTGGTGAGCTAAATTCACCCTAACAACATCTAGTGACGTTTCCATTGCAAGGGTCATTACTTTTTTTTAGAAAACAGTTTGACCTCCGACCAGCAGGAATTCTGCATCCCAGAAAGGAAATGTAGGGTGAGAGCCTCCAGAGAAAACCTTGGTGTGATTTTATTTCACCTGCCCTTGAATTGAATTAAAACATAAATCCTGAAATTATTCCCCATACAGCTAATCCTTTTACCTCCACCACCACCCTCCTTTGGTCATATTTAAATTTACAATTTGGTAGCAATTTTTGTATGCTTTCTGAGGCTGGACTCAAAATTTCTGGAGGACACGGACAATTCCGAAGGGCCAAGTGAGGACTTTCTGACTTTAGAAAAAATTCAGATTTTACTTACACTTCCTCCCCTGCTGCTGAACCGAGCTGAACTTCTCTTGGCTGATGGTCATCTCCTTCATGCCATCTCGAACGTGTCCCTGATCCTGGCCTGTGTGGGGTTTATTATGAGTCCTTCATTTGATTAGAGTCTCTCTGTGTGTTTCCTGGGGGTTTCCCCTCCTGGGCTGGAGATGCAAACCAACTCAACAAAACCCGAAGCAGAAGGAGGTCCTTCTCTGAGTTCCTCTCCCAAGGGAACATCAAAAACTTCAACCTCAGTCATTTTTGAAGCTCTCTTTATCCAGAAAAAGATTATTCGGTTTGCTTCGTAAATGTCAACCGGGTGGTTGATGTGGAAGAGGTCAGCTCAAACTTACCCGGAGCTTTTGAGAATGAGGAAATTCTTCTGGGGTGGGTCTTTTACGGTTACTGTTTTTCTTGAGAGGTGATTTTACNACAACTTGCCTCCAGAAGTTGTGAATGCCCCAACACTGGAAGTCTTTAAGAAGATGTTGGATAACCCTTTGTCTGAAGTGGTGTAGGGTTTCCTGCCTAGGCAGGGGGTTGGACTAGAAGACCTCCAAGGTCCCTTCCAACTCTCTTGTTTATTTTAAAGGCTAAATCAGAAGGAGAGCAACTAATGGAGCTTGGTACATCTAGGCTAACAAAAAGAAGGACTACAGGATGACACGATCAATGTCCTCCAATATTTTGAAGGGCTTTCACAACAAGAATAGAATAGAATAGAATATAAAACAGAATATAGAATAAATAGTTGGAAGGGATCTTGGAGGTCTTCTAGTCCAACCTCCTGCCTAGGCAGGAAACCCTACACCATTTCAGACAAATGACTATCCAACATCTTCTTAAAGATTTCTGGTGTTGGGGCGTTCACAACTTCTGGAGGCAAATTGTTCCATTGATTAATTGTTCTAACTGTTAGCAAATTTCTCCTCAGTTCTAAGTTGCTTCTCTCCTTTACTAGTTTCCACCCATTGCTTCTTCTTCTTCTATCCTCAGGTACTTTGGAGAATAGCTTGACTCCCTCCTCTTTGGGGCAACCCCTGAGATATTGGAAAACTGCTATCATGTCTCGCCTAGTCCTTCTTTTTGTTAAACTGGACATACCCAGTTCCTACAAACATTCTTCATATGTTTTAGCCTCCAGTCCCCTAATCCTCTTTGTTGCTCTTCTCTGCCCTCTTTCTGGAGTCTCAGTAGGGATCTACTTAATTCCCCAAAGCACCTGAGGGCAGGACAAGAAGTAACGAGCGGAAGAATATAAAAAACAGATCCAACCTACAACTAAGGAGAAATTTCTTCCTTAACTTCAGGAGTCGTGAATGCTCCATCACTGGAGGTTTTTCAAGAAGACATTGGACAGCCATTTGTCCGGAATGATATAAGGTCTCCTGCTTGAGCAGGGAGTTGGACTAGAAGACCTCCAANTTGCCTCCAGAAGTTGTGAATGCTCCAACACTGGAAGTCGTTAAGAAGATGCTGGATAACCTTTTGTCTGAAGTGGTGTAGGGTTTCCTGCCTAGGCAGGGGGTTGGACTAGAAGACCTCCAAGGTCCCTTCCAACTCTGCTACTGTATTGTATAGTATTTACTTGAACTAGTGAAGTGTGCCTAGAAAGAATCCTATTACCATTGTAGTTTGAGCTTTAATGCCGCTCAGGTGCAATGGTTTCATATGAAACATGAATCTATTCTCCAGCATTTATAAAAACCACTTTTTACAACAGAAAGTGGAGGATTTAAAAAGTACAGTTCGGTAAATACGGTTGCTTTTTACATCACAGGTGCTTTTATTACATTTTTTAAAAGTTCTATTAAAAATTAGCATTCATTTCTGTTGCTTTCCCCAGTGTTCCTAGCTTTTGCCTGTGGCATATAGGTTTTCTCAGAGGAAGATTTCTAACTTATGTTATTGTCTTTTTTATGTAAATATCTGCACTGCAGATTCCGGCTTTTAAAATACACAATTCCCTGATCTAATCTCTCTTTCTCGCTCGTTTAGCATTTTCATAGTATGCACTTTACATAAACATATTTTTTTCCAGATGCCCTGTCACAAATAAATATTTGGGTTTCTTGTGGGCACATGTTAGTGCACATGTGTCTGTGTGTGTATTTTTAATGAAGATCAAAGGAACACTCTTCAGAAGTTCTGTTTCATGGTTTGAGATTCCGGTTCCTTCTTTATCCATGTGCTCTTCTTAGGGTGAGGCCAGAAATAAGTTCACTTGCAACCACAGAAGAAAGGAACCATGTCAAAGAGAGTCCACTGTTGCTGTTAGTCTAACTGGGAATTTCCTTTTAGAGTTTTCAAGTTTATGTTTATAACTCTTACTTGCAAAGACACATAGAGATGAACAGGGGTGGGATCCTACCAGTTGGACAACCGGCTCACTGAGCGCGTACTTCGAGCGCATGCATTCACTTTGCTAGTGCACAAACCAGTACATAAGCGGTAGGCTTCTGATCCCGGTGCAACCGGTGCGGTGCAACGGGGCCGGGCGTCTACCACATGAACGCACGCACATGCATGCAGCATGCGAATGCGTACTTACCGCCTGTGATGCCTCCGTGACACTCCAGCTGCTCGGCGGAGAGTCGCGCAGGTGCCGTACGCTCCGTGCGCGGAAGCCCTGAAAACCTCAAATACCGGTAAGGAACGCGGGCGGGTGGGTGGNGTGGGTGGGTGGGTGGGTGGGGGGAGGCCATGAGGGGTGGGTTGCTTTGGGGGCTCTTGGGTGGGGGGCGCTGATAGTCTTTAGGCAAAGACCCCCCCCCCACCTCCCCACAAAGGAAAACTGAGATTGCCCAAGGAAGACACAACTTTACTTTGTAGCTCAAGTCCAGCCAATTTGGGGGGTTGGGAGGTGATTGTAACATTTGCATAAGCCTTATAAATAAAAATAATAATACTGGGAAAAAGTTTATCAAAGGTTTGACACGTCAGGGTCAGGCATTCTTAGCCTTCTTGGTTTTTCAGTCTGTGGGGTTAAGATTCCCCAGGTTGCTTTTAATTCATCTTTTTTGACTGAAACAGGGAAGATATTTTGAATTCAAACGTAGAAAAGTTGCCTTAGATGTCTACTTTTTCCGAAGAGGAAGGATTGGCCTGCAGAGATGTTGACCTTTTTAGCATAGGGTCCCATTCTCACAACTCCTTGTACAGTCCTGCAGCAGAAAACTATTATGCTTGGAGCAAAATTATTTGTTAATCGGAGTGGTTTGCAAGATACAGGCTGCGTGTTTGAAGGGGTTTAATTTAGAGGCACCTGTCAGAAAACTATTCAAAACAGTTCTTCACTGGATTCAGAAAGAAACTAGCAGAAATTTTATGTAATGTATCTGTGCCAAAGATTGGGAAAAGCTTCTACAAGTGTTCTGAAACACTTTTGCATATCAGCTGAACTGACATTTTGTTTGTTTGGTTTGTTAAAAAGTTCAATCCGGGAAGTATTCTAGATCCAGATTATTACAGTTATCTCTCTTCAGATATGCAGACATTTTTTTTCTTAGCCCAAAATTTCTTTTTCTCTCTTTTTAAAGGTGTATGTAATCAGGTACTGACCCAAATGTGTTAGGCATACCTGAAGGTAACTTAAGATTTGTTGCATTCAGGCTGTTTTAATTTTCTCCAAAGATATAGGTCAAAATGGTAGTGCATTTGCTATATTTCCTGGCACATATATATATATATATATATATATGTATATGTATATGTATATGTATATGTATATGTA